TCAGGAGCCACTTGTCAAAAGAAACTAACTTTATTTTTAGAACCACACATGCCAAACAAAACAGCTCCTCAGGAAAACCCCTCAGAGCCCAACTGCCACCACCGGGCTTCCCACAAGCCTCCCCACCTCCCACAATCCTCCTGCTCTTGAAGCCGATTGGCTGGGTCGAATGGGCAGAGCCCAAAAAGTCCCCCAATGAGCAGCTCCGTGGTCTGAAAGGGCAGGGAACCAGCCCAATGAGCATCACAGCAGAGGAGCCAATATCAGCTAGATGTTGCTGCTGGGCTGTGAGCCAATCATCAGCTGGCAGTCTGAAAGTTTGCTGGGGCCCCTTCGGCTGTGGCTCTCAACAACTGAGGACAGAGCTCCATGATTGGCCTCTTCCTAAACATGAAGTTTGTCTGCACTCCTCAAATTATCCTGCTCAAATACTGCCCTAGTCCCAGGCTCTACAGAGGAATGTTCAAGAATTCAGCTTTTACATCTGTGCATGCAGGATCAATCTATCTATTATGATCAACTTCATTTTCTGTTTCTTTTTTGGTACCAGGGATTGAAACCAAAGGCGCTTAGGTTGCCTATAGACTTTCTTAAGTTGCTGAGGCTGGCTTCAAACCAGGGATCCACCAGCCTCAGCCTCCGAAGCCACTGGGATTAGAGTCATGCAACACCACACAGGGCTCTCATTTTCTTCTTTTCTTAAATATTAATTTTTAGTTATAGGTGGACACAATATCTTTCAAACCTAGTGCCCCACGCATGCTAGGCTTGCGCTCTACCTCTGAGCCACAAACCCAGCCCATTTCTTATAGCCTCCTTTTGTTGTTATTGCTTTCCTTAGTTCTTTAATTCCTTGACTCCAATCATAGCCCCTTTTTGATTTTAGCTAATTCTAACTGTTGTGCAAGCACAATCTAATTTTAACCATGTGAAACTTTTTCAATCATCTAAAATATGCAGTTTCTCTATGAGTTCAGTGGAAAGTCCCCTCCCCACACTGACTCTACGAATGTTATATGAACCTCAACGCTGAATGTTCAAGGTGTGCCAGGAACCCGACTTTGTAACTCCTCTCAAGGACCCAATTTTTGAAGGGTCCCTGTACATCCCATTGGTAAGAACCCTGCAAAAATTCAGCGGCGAGGAGCACAAGAGGCTGACTTCACCCGAGTACAGCCATCTTCGCCGTGAGGTCTGTGGGGAATCGGTGGGGCGTGTTGAAGAGGCCGCCTGGGAAAAGGCCCTTCGGGAGGGCAGGAACCGGGCGGGAGGGGACCCAGGGTCAGCCATCCCACCGAAGGCCCAGCAACGGGCGTTCCCTCAGCCCGGCAGAACCGCTGGTCTTCATAGGCTTCTCAGGAGAGCGCGGGAATCCAGGGTCTGTTTACCTCTTTGGAAAAAGCCACACCAACCCTCCCTAATTCAATACATCGCCGGTTAATCTGACAGGAAACAGTATCACCTCCCCCGAAAGCTCTCCCGCCGGGGATTTCAAACGGATCAGGAGCCACGCCTCCCCGGAACCGGAAGCATGACAACTAGCGCCCCTTGCTGGTCGACTATTTATAAGGGGCGGGGCTGCAGCGGAAACTGCAACTCCCGGAATGCAGCGCGGAGCTTCCGGTTTCCGGCGAGAGGGCCAGAGTGAGTGTTTACACCGGCGGCTCTGCGGCCGGGTTCCTTCCGCGGGACGGGTGAGGGCGCAGGGCCCCTGGTCGCGCGGGCTCGACGTGGGTCGGCTAGATAACTGGTCCCACCGGAGAGGTGGGGTAGCCACCAGACAGTGTTCCTACCTCACTACTAGCTATCTGTGACCTTGGCCCAGGTGACTTCACCTTTCTGAATCTTGATTCCATGGTCTGTAAAATGTGGACAATAATGCCTGCCCCGGGGAACAGTGAGGATTAAGTGAGATTGGTGTACAAATCTAGTTTTAAACCTGGAGGCGGATGGTGCCTTGAGTATGGATGTTTTAAGATGGGATGGGCAGCCTTTTCTTTTCCAATACCCTTTCAGAGACCTCTTTGGAAGCAATAATGATGACTAAAATAAGGACTTGCCTTGCTTTGCCAGACTTTTCCATCCTCAGAACTTTTGACTTCTAGCCATCCATATGTGCCAGGCGTGTGGCCAAGAAAGGCAAAAAATTCTAATGTTTGTATTCAAGGACTTTAAAGAGTTGGTGTGTGTGTGCTGGTGGAAAGTAAATAGCTGTTTTTTGCCCAGTGAGAACAACAGGAAAAAGAAGAGTTTAGAGGAGATTGTATTTGTGTTGGCCTGGTAGGAGTTTGCTAAGAAACCAAAAAAGGAAGACTTGAAAAGTCAGGAAATTAGCAAAGGTGAGAGCTTTGTTTTGAATGGAGACATAGTGAGGTGTACTTAACCTGTTGGGAGAGTGGCACAGGGCAAGGCTCTGTTAGAGAGGAAAGGTGGCAGGAGGCAAAAGGAATGATTTTAAGACGTTTCAGTTTATTCATAGAGGTGGTTTGAAGCCAATTGAGGTGCTCTAAGCAGGGGAATGACTTGATCAGTTCTATATTTCAAAATCATGAGTTGGGTAGCAGCATAAATCTTTCACAGAGAAAGACCAAGAAAAAAAACAACAACAGGGTACTTGATATAAGCTGTTGTAAATAAACCACCAAGAAATGAAGAAAAATCAGAAACAAGTAATGTATAGGAGGGAGAGGATTGGATAATCTCACTTGAACCTCACAACATTCCTATTAAATTGGATGGTATTTATGTCCACTTTAAAGATGAAGAAACTGAGGCCTAAAGAGCTGAATAAAGGGAGGGCCACATATTCTAGTTCTGGCCTCCCGATGTTGCATCTAATGCTTCTCTAACAGTGTCACACTGAATTGTCTGTTATTTAACCCTTTGGTGGGTGGGAGTGGATTAGGATGGTGATCTGTCCTTCAACTACTGAGGCTTTATTCTTTTACAGGGAGAAAGAGAGAGCGCGAAAGAGAGAGGATGTCTCTCTCAGACTGGCATCTGGCAGTGAAGCTGGCTGACCAGCCACTTGCCCCAAAGTCTATTCTTCGGTTGCCAGAGACAGAACTTGGAGAATACTCACTAGGGGGCTATAGTATTTCATTTCTGAAGCAGCTTATTGCTGGAAAACTCCAGGAGTCTGTTCCAGACCCTGAGCTGATTGGTGAGTCTCGGTGGACTGGTCTTGAACTGCTGCTCTGATCTCTTATGTGGGGAGGATACTTACAGAATTACCAGAGTGAATTAAAGGCTTGGGATTTGTTGCCTCATAATGTTAACAATTCAGAGAAGTGAGTGTTAGGCGAGTCACAAATCATAATAGAACTCTTGCTTGCCATTTCAGTCATGTATTACACGGAACTACTTCATCACAATTCCTAAACTATGATATTGTTGAGTTTTTTTCTCTAAAAGGATAAAAATTTGGGGCAGGTCAAGGAATGAGTTGTTGATCTGGGGAGGCTCCTCAATGTATCCCTTAAATCTTAAGAAATGATTAGAAAAATTTTTGTTTGGCTGGTTGATTAGAGGGAAGATGGAAAATAAGGAAATGAAGACAAGGGCATTTCAAGTGGAGGAAGGAGGAGTTTAAGTATAATATAATTAAATTATGCTGTGAATGTAATTTATAATAGCTAAGGGTTTTAACTGGTGAGTAGGTATTTTCTGCCTCACCAGATTGGATTCATCCTTTTTTGTTTTTACATTTTCCCACTCATTTAAATGGAGCAATTTCTACAATGTTAAGTTCTAGAGTTCTTTTATGGTTGGATTCTGTATAGCTCCATCTTGTGGGTTTGTACTTGCTAACAATTGTTGTTTAAATTTCTTTCTTTTGTTTTTGGACTAGAGATTGAACCAGGGGTGTTCTACCACTGAGATACTTTTTACTTATTTTCAAGTTTTGAGACAGAATCTTACTAATTTGATAAGGCTGGCCTCAAACTTGGCAATCCTCCTACCTTAGCCTTTGGAGTCTCTGGAATTACAGGTGTGGGCTACCATACTTGGCTAAAATGTATTTCTTAAATAAGAGTATGTTTTAAAGTATGTATCATTCTCCAGTTTTCTGCCCAACCAAAATAAGGTTCTCAGGGGACAAAAATCATCTAAATTGTTTTGAGGAACAAAATAAATGGACAGTTTTTTTTCGTTGTTGTTGTTGTTGTTTTTTTAGATCTTATCTACTGTGGCCGGAAGCTAAAAGATGATCAGACCCTTGACTTCTATGGCATTCAGCCCGGGTCCACGGTTCATGTTCTGCGCAAATCCTGGCCTGAGCCTGATCAGAAACCAGGTGAGTGAGCGTTGGCCCTTAGTCAGACCAGCAGAGTTTCTGTAATTTCTTCAAGGGAAGGGATTGTGTTTTCTTGAGGCATGGCCCTGGGTGGAACAAAGAGACAATGTCAATAGGAAATGACTTTATTACTTGATTGTATCACATTGATAAACAGTAAATTGCCACTAATGGTAGGAGATTTATTTCTCTACTTTCTAAGTTCTTTACCTGATGTTTTTTAATGGACAGAGAATGTGTTTCCATTTAAATTCTTTAGATTAATAGCTTATTAATGAACTTTGTTTCCTTTTATTATTGTTGCTGTTGTCATTAAGAAAAAGCTGGAAACTTCTTGCACTTCTCTAATGCTGTAGTTTGTTTCCTTGTGAGCAAATCATCCTGCCAACTGCATCAGGCAATGATTTGTTCAATCAACTTACAACACCTGATGTACTGGTAATTTATTTTCCAGAAAATGTTCCAACAACATTAAAGTCACTCTTGGAGAAAATATACAAAGCCTTTAAAGCCTTTCTGATTTATTAATAGAAGGTGCTACTTGGAATTCATAATTTAAATTTTATATTTGTGTTTTAAAAGTTTCCTCAAGATAAAGGCAAGCTATATAAAAATTATCAATTTGACATATTTTTATAATGTTCATGATTGTTGTCAGCTTGAAAATTTACCCTCTTTTCAGTTCTAAACATAAAGGACAAAAAACATCTTCTTTTGTATTCTGATGGGAAGTGAGAAAGAAAAAGGAATCCCTTGACATCCAAGGGTTGACCTGGTTCTCACAAGTAGACCTTGGAGTCCTTTCATGGAACATGAACAAATGCACAAGTCACCAACTTTAGACAAGGACATTCTGAGGTCATCGTGGATCAAGACAAAAATAAGATCTTTATCATTTCTGAGCAGAGACCAAAACCTGTACATTGTCCAAACCGCAAAAGTGATCATGTATCCTTCTATTCTGGCTAATGAGAATGACTGTTGCTTCTTTACCAGTAACTGCTGTATTTTTTCCTTCCTTCTTAATATAAGGGTTATTAAAACATCCAATCATGCCAGGTGTGGTGGCGCAAGCCTGTAATACCAGTGGCTCAGGAGGCTGAGGTAGGAAGATCACAAGTTCAAAGCCAGCCTTAGCAATTTAGCAAGGCTCTAAGCAACTCAGTGAGACCTTGTCTAAAGGTATAAAAAGGGCTAGAGATATGGCTCCGTGGTTAAACACTTCGGGGTTCAGTCCCGGTATTAAAAAAAACCCAAAAACAACAACAACAAAAAAATAAACCCAATCATGAAATTGTCCTCACTTCCTGTTGGCTTCAAATTCAGAGCAAAATCCTACTTTTCCCAAACTTAMCCAGCCAAAGCTTAAATCTTTTTTCCTCCCCCTGTACTGGGGTTGAACCTAGAGGTGCTTTGTCATTGAGCTTCATCCCAGCCCTTTTGATTTTTTATTGTAAGACAGGGTCTTACTAAGTTGCCAAGGCTGGCCTCAATCTGTAATCTTGTCTCAGCCTCCCAAGTARCTGGGGTTACAAGTGTGTGCCATTGCACCTGGCTTCAAAGCTTAAATCCTCTATGTCCTTTCTAATATCATCTTGTTGAGACATCTTATAGTTCCCTTTGGTTTGCATTCTCCTCTGTGTAGTGAGCAGTAAAACCATCTTGTTCAAATGCAGATGTTCTCCTGTGTTTGGGTGCCGTTCTTTTGCTAGAGGGCATTAACAAAAGAAAGGAATATTTATGGCTTCTGTGAGCTAGGTTTTTTTCCCCTTTGATATCTCACTTAATCATGACAGTGGCCCTGCAGGGTAAGTAACATTATTAGCATTTTTAGATGAAGGAAAAGGGTTGGAAAGGTTACTTACTTAGAAATGAATGCAAGAGTCAGATGCAGTGACACATGCCCGTATCCCAGCTATTTGAGAAGCTAAGGTAGAAGGATTGCACGCTTGAGGCTAGTCTCAACAACTTAGCAAGACCATGTTTCAAAAAATAAAAAGGACTGGGGATGTTGCTCAGTGGTAAAGCACCTCTGGGCTCAATCCCCAGTACCAAAAAATAAAACAAAAAGCATAATGCAAGAGCTGATAGGGACCTAGATTTTAGAGGTTCAAGAGACAAAGTGCTTTCCAATGGGCTAGCTACCTCCCACCCTTCAAAGGGTACAGAGATGCCCATTATTATTAGCTCATTGCTAGYTTAGAATACTTAGAATCCATTTCCTCCTAACTTCTGCCTGGAGATTTATTTTTTAAGCAAATGGACGTTTTATTGGGAGGCGAAAAGAAGCTTTTCAATCTGAAAAGAAATGGCTTTGTGGCAATACTTTAAATATAGTTTCTCCTCTAGCACTCTTCTTCCAAAGGAAGTACATTCTTCTCCCACTAGATGAGGACTTATAGGATGAAAACTGGCCTGTCTCTCCCTTCCCACCTGGATCCCTTTGGTGTTTCTCTATGGTGTGTTATAAATTCTCAAGATTTTACTTTAGCCTGCTATTTGAGCAGGGATGTGTACCCTGAGCTCCAGACATAAAAAATGACTTGCTGTTCCTCCCGAACACCACATTCTTTTTCTTCCATATCTTTGCACATGTTCTCACTTAGGCTTGGAAGAGCTTCTTCCCTAAGTAAACATCTGCTCTACCTTAAGTGCCCCTCTCAGATCTTCCCTGGGAGGTGGCTGTGGATCCTGGTCCTGTCTCTCAGAGATGGCCAGAGCCCTTGCTTGCATTCACATATCTGCTGAGGCCATCAGTGTGGTATTTTATAATTGTGTGTTTGATCTAATCTCATTTCTCCTACTGCCCCAAGAATTCCTTTGTTCGTAAAGATTCTTATTTTTTGCTTCCTGTGACTTGCCCAAAGCCAGGCACAGGGTACATGCTCAGTATGTGTTTGTTAAATGAGTAAGTTAAGTAATTTATTTGAGTATTTTTTGAAAGAGTTAGCCCTTGTTATTAGGGCTATAGGACATGACTGCTACACTGTATCCAGGAGTACAGTTCATTTTCCTTGGTAGTATGCCCCTGAAGTCAGATGATACAATATATACAAACATATAAACACAAGTAGCAGTCCCTTGCTGAGGATTACCACACTTTAAAAAGTGTGACCCAGGATGAACTTCCTACCTACCTGGTCTCCTTGCTGTTACCCATATTTCTTTGAAATGGACTGGGGTCTTTTATGTTAAAGTAACCACAAGTAGCTGAGGTTATTACTAAACTTTCCCTTATGTATGAATTAGTGTCTAAAGATCAAAGAGGAGTTTGGGGCCTTGCTGTTGGGCATATTATGGAAGGTTTTTAAGATCCTTGGGAGCACAGTGTGTTTTCTTGGTCCTTCTTTTTTTTTTTTTTTTTTTTTTTTAGATTTAGATTTAGATTTTTTTTTTTAAAGAGAGAGTGAATGAGAGAGAAAGAGAGAGAGAGAGA